AAAAAAAAAAAAAAAAAAAAAAAAAAAAAAAAAAAAAAAAAAAAAAAAAAAAAAAAAAAAAACTAATGAATGTCTTATTTGTCACGTATTTTGCAGAATCTCACAAGAGCATGTATCGATATCATCAAAGATCAACAAAAATCATGAAAAATCGAATTCTTCTTCGTTCATAAGTGGGATAAAGAGATGGAAATAGCAAAACACATCGAACCAGTACATCCGAACTGAAATATGCGACTGCGAATAAAATTACCCAAGAACTCCAGAGAAAATTCTAGATCTAAACAAAAAAAAATCGCAAAATTGAAAGAATGTAGATTTTAAAGATGAACAGTAAAGATCATTACCTTCGTTCTACTAGGAGGTGGACGCAAGACAGAATGCTAGTGGAAGACTCGAGAGAGTAAAAAAAAAACTGAACCAGCTGAAGAAATCTGCTGATTGAGCGGATGGATATTTAGCCCTAACTATCAGGTCGTAACTCGTAACCCAATCTGCGTCGCGTTCTTGTGTTCGAATCCAGCTATTTCCATTTGCTTTATTTATTTATTTTTCAATTACTTGTCCCAAAATTCTCTATTTATTTTTACAGAAATCGGGGAATGTCAGGTTAACTACAATACATCTAGCTGATGATACAAAGTTATGGTGGAGATCCAAATACAGAGACATTCAAGATGAGTGATGCACCGTAGACACTTCAGATAACTTAAACCAAGAATCCCGATCATAGTTCTTGACATGTTCGAACTCCCTTAACTCCTGAGACTACATTACATGTTCGAATTAAGACATACTGTGTCATCACATGTATGAAAAAGACCATGTATTCAATTTTGTCGAGGGACGAGAATGTTCCCTTAAATAAAAAAAAATATTATTCATTTTAAATAATCTTTTAAAGGCTAATATGGTATAATTTTAAAAAAACAAACGTATAATATAATATAATATAATATTTTATCTATAATTAATTGCATATAAACCCTTCGTCTTAATTATTACAATAAATAAGAGTTTTGACTTAATATACATGAATAATAAGAATCTTTTACCTTTTATTTAAACACGTTTACAAATACGTATTTATTTAAATTTATATTCTTAAATTTTCAAAAGTTTAAATAGTGTCAAATTTTTAAAAATATCTTTTAATTTTTTAAAATTTAAAAATTCAAAACTATTTTTTAAAATATTTAAAAGTTCGAATTAAAGTAATTATATATTTTTTAATTTAAAAGTATTAACTTAAAAAGGTTTAAAGAATATTTTTGAAGATAATATACAATTATTTTTGTATTAATTTAATATACAAAAAAAAAATAAAGAGTGAATATTAGTTGGTGGATAGCAGCGCCACCTAAAATTGGATTCCCTCAGTGGGCCCCACGTCCCCAAATCAACGCCTGCCAGCTCATCCCTGACCCCACACTTTTTGTACTATCTCATTCTGTTTGCGAAGCACCAGATCATACCCCACCTCCCACAACGACTCTAAAGAAAATAATTCGCTTTTCCATTTTTCCTTAAAATAAATAATTACTCTTTAGTGCTCGATCATCCAACTACCGGATAACAAACACTGGACCCCACCACTTTACCGGCGGTTTCCGGTCACCCATTGGCTCTATATACATAACTCTATTCCGATAGTGAATCCTTAATTTGCGGCCATGGGAGACCGTGACGGAGCTTTCAAAGAATCGGAGTCCACCGGAGAAATCGGCGGCGCCGATGCTCATTTGGTCTCCGGACGATATAATTGCTTATGCTTCCCTTGCTTCGGACCTCGTCGGTCGGTTTCCGACGAGATTTCCTGGTGGGAACGGGCGAAGGCGGGAGCGAGAGCGAGAGCGAAAGCCACCGTAGACGGCGAGGATCATTGGTGGACCGGCGGAGTTAGATCTGTCAAGAAGCTTCGTGAATGGTCCGAGATCGTCGCCGGTCCGAGATGGAAAACGTTCATTCGTCGGTTCAACCGGAACCGGCCCGCTGCCGTGAAGCTTGGGAAATTCCAGTATGATCCCATCAGTTACGCTTTGAATTTCGACGAGGGAAATAACGGCGATGTGGATTTCGAAGAGGAGGAGTGCAACGGTGGGTTTAAGAACTTCTCCGAACGGTTCGCTGCCGTGCCGGCTCCGGTGAAGTCGGCGGCGGATGTATAGGGTTCTGCGGCGGTCTTTTGTCCTTTTCTGGTGAAGTTGACTGGTCGGCTTCCGTCCGGTGGTGGTAATTTAACGTATCTTTTTTTTCAACTGATGAGCTGGAAGTTGACCGTTCCAATTAATTAAGAGGCGCCAATGGCGGCGGGTACACGTGGCAATAAGATGGTTTACTTTCTGTCAGGGTGACGTGTAGCAAAACCATTGGTAGTTTATATGATTTTGTTTTCTTTTTTTTTTCCAATTAAATTTGTATAATTCATTTACCAATAATAGAATTGCATAATTCAAATAGAGTTTCATTTATGTAAATTCTATTATTGTCAAATTTATATCTAATAATATGTCATTAAAATTTTAAAAATATTTAAATAAGTTTTGAATTTATAATTTATATTCATTAAATTCCAAGTGTTATCATGTTCCATCACTTACCAGACGACGGGGAGTCCAACAAAGAGTTAACATCAGTGTTCATAATAGTAAAATATTTCAATGTCTTGTAATGTTCGAGCTCGAGATGTAAATTTAATTCAAGTGGATTGAGAAATCTTACGTCGGTTGGAGAGGGGAACAAGTCATTACTTATAAAATTTGGAAACCTCTCCTGAACAGTGTTCCCGAACAGTGTTTTGAAATCGTGATGCTGAAGGTCATACATAACGGGTAGAGGTGGACAATTCTGCTAATGGTGGGCTTGAGTTCTTACAAAAGCCCACTCGACGAAATAAAGCATAGAATCTCTATTTCAATGAGAGAGATAAAATCATGAGGGTGACCACCATTCTCTAACGAGCAGTATCAAACAATATTTATTAGCAGTGGTAGGCTTGAGTTGTTACGAAAGCCCCCTCCGACCAACACATGACATAGCATCCCTATTTAAATGTGAGAGATAAAATCCTTAGGCTGACGATCATACGTGCAGAAGTTGATAATATCTACTAACGAGCCCACTTCGGCCAATCAGAGAATTGAATCCCTATTTAAATGGGAGAGATACAACGGCTGAGCTGACAACCATAAGTAACCAGTAGAAACTGTGAGATATTTACTAGTGGACTTGAGTTGTTATAACAGCCCACCAGACCAGACATAGAATCCCTACTTAAAACGGGTGACAACCATAAGTAACCAGTAGAAACTCTGGATATCTACTAGTGGACTTGAGTTGTTACAACAGCCCACCAGACATAGAATCCCTATCAAAACCGATGACGACCATAAGTAACCAGTAGAAATTGTGGATATCTGACAACCATAAGTAACCAGTAGAAACTGTGGATATCTGACAACCATAAGTAACCAGTAGAAACTGTGGATATCTATCAGTGGACTTGAGTGTTACAACAGCCCACCAGACATAGAACCCTTATTAAAATCCGTGACAACCATGAGTAACCAGTAGAAACGGTGGATATTTGACACCCATAAGTAACCAATAAAAACTGTTGATATCTACTAGTGGACTTGAGTTGTTACAATAGCCTAAGAGGCATAGAATACCTATTTAAAATGGGGAGAGGAGTTAAACTGGGATTACATTCTCAGTCCCTAATTTTTTACTTAAAAAAATATAGAAATTAATACCAAAAATCAGCATTTTTATGCAAAGTTTTAAAAAAAAAATATAAAATCAACAAAAATAAAGTATTTAAATTTTCACCTCTTATAAATTTCCAGTAATTGTACTCCATCATCTTCTTCATGTTCTGCTGTGCAAATTCCTGATCAAGATCACGAAGGTTTTCCACACATGGCGGACTGAGAGACGATCATTTTGAAAAACACTTTGAAGCTTCAAATTTTGAAAACGTTCGCTCTCTCAGAAAACCAAGTTCCAATCAATATCGAAGAAACAAATCATTTTGATCTCATTTCTCTGATACAATCCAAGTTCAATTGATATCGATCAAATCCAAGAAGATTTCAGACGAATTCCGGCCTCCATTGATTGTTCGAGCTGCTCGGAATCGGCAATCCACTCTTCTTCGACCATTGCCAAATCTTCGACACCGAGAAACTTTCCCCGTTACTTCTCCCACTGATTTTCTTACCTTCAACCTCTCCGTTTCCCTGGAAGATTGCAGGGTTTAATTTCTCCTTCATCACCTGTAAATCTGAATCTCCAACGACGTATTGGTAAGTCCCCATTGAATAACATCTTCTCGCGTTTAGGTGATTTTGGTTGCTGCTTTCTCCTTCCTCTTCTATTTGTTCTTCGTGTTCTTGTTCTTCTTCGCTGTTTATTTTTTTGAATTTTCCGAGTCTCACTGAGAAAACTCTCATTTCCCTTGAAGATTCATCGATTGTTGTTGTTACTCGTTTCTGATGATTTCCAGAAATAGGATTTTCTGGTTGCCAGTGAGAACCATTTCCGCGCCCTAAAATCTCGTCCAAATTAGGGTTTTCGAGAGGAAAATTGGAGCTCAAAAGAGAGGCTCTGCAGAGAGGGCAAGTGGAGTTCGAGAGCAGCCATGTATCTATGCAATTGATATGAAAAGCATGGCTGCAGATGGGAAGCGATCTCAGCCTGTCGTGATATGAAAACTCATTGAGACAAACGGCGCAATCGAACGGCTCTTTCAAATCCATAATATCTCTGTACAAGAACACTGGCAAAGCGTCGATGAAGGATTGATCGAGGCCTGAATCATGAAGGCGAAAGAGCTGCTGGAGCTGTCTTTGGAGTGTGTGAGATCCAGGCCTTTCTGTGTATCGATTGGAGTGATGGTAGATTGACGGGGAAGATCTTTTCAGCAGAAATCGAACGAGCAAATGGAGTAAACCAGAAACGAAGAAAATGACTGCTAGAATCACTATAACTAGAAGAAGAATTGGGCTGATGCGGCTGAAAGAAGAAGAAGAAGAAGAAGAAGAAGAAGACGATGGTACAGAATCATTCGATATTGAATCAGTGCCAACATCAAAAGGTGAAAGAGGAGATGGGTATATCAGATTACCATCTTTTTGCATCATTTCATTTGAAAATCTTGACATCTCAGGAGATATAATACTCAATAACAATCCCTTTTCTTTGTTCCAGGTAATGGATGATGAACTTTCTGCTTTTTGATCGAAAAAAAAGCTGAAAGAGATAGAGAAAGATGATATAATCTTATGCTGAAGAAGGTTGCATTGTACCTAACCTACCATTTGATGCAGAAAACGAAGGAAGCCATTAAAAAACTAAGGTATTCTTTGGCTGGTGAAGATGGGTCTGCAGATTTCCAGTGTTTATGCGCCACAGAACAAGAGGAAGAGGGTTGGGATTTGATTGGCTTTGTTTTAGTGTGAAAGCCAAGGTGGGTAAGGCTGAGATTGGCCATCAAAGTGGCAGTTGAGCCCTACAGTGATTGAAGAGACTAGAAGAATTTCATACATTTCAACAAAACAACTCCCAAATTTGAAGGCCCATTTTCTACCAAACTATCACAAGGTACACTTTCTTTCACCTGCTCTCAACAAAAACCTGATATTTGGGAGTATTTTTCTTTACCCTGTTTCCTTGAATGTCAAAGATTTTGGTTAGGAAATTGCTGAAAAAGGTATGGATGTGTGAAGAAAATGTGGTGTATGTGAGTTTAGAGGAGGTCCACCATTAATATAGCAACTCGATTACCCACAGGAGCCTGTTTTCTCTTTATTTATCAGCCTTCAATGATGAGTTTTCCCTGTCTAATAGCCTGCTAACCACAGCATTCTTTCCACTAATGGTGGCGACATCATTAACTTAGAAGATGAATCTAAAGTTACTTTGATTTCCATGTGATATGAGACAAAGTGAAAAACTAACAAAGACATGGTCCTAAAGGGATAATTAGAAAATGAATAGGTTCAAAGAGGAGAGTGACCAGACCAGAGAAAGAGAAACGTGGGCAGAACAGAGATCTGAAAGTATCGTATAGAACAGAAGAATTTTGCTTGATTTGTCACTAAAACTCAACCAATATGACAAAGGAATAAAATGAAGGGCTTAGAGAAATGGGTGATATGTGGGGTCTTTGCTTCCTTTTCCTTGCACGCATGGGCTTCAAAATATCCTCTTTGATCATGACCATTCATACACCCATCACCATGCGCCTTTTGTAACATAACACCCTTGTCTCTAGAAAAGATATCAACCGGTGGAGAATATTTTGGATATATAAACAAAAAACATCTCGATAGTAAACCGCCCTCGGGTTGACTTAGTAGTTAACGGGGACCATGTAAATAACCGAGAGCTTAAAGGGAATGGGTTCAAGCCATAGTCACCTCGGGTTGACTTAGTAGTTAACGGGGACCATGTAAATAACAGAGAGCTTAAAGGGAATGAGTTCAAGCCATAGTCACTCATAGATTTACTGATGTAAAATCTTTTGATAGAATTCTAAAGTGAAATTATGTGTACTTAAAGTTAAAGCGAATGAATCATGTTATCGAAGAAAAGACCCGTTCGAGAAAATATCGACATGTATATGTATACTAGAGAGAACTTAGTTGAAAAGGGTTTCATTTGTTTATTGGGATTCTTAAATATGTTCGCCCCACATTTGTCTGAACTTTTGGCTTTTATGTGGACTTGGTGGTAGAAATCTCGTGAGAATTAAGAGGTCAAACTTCCTTATTTCAAAGAAATAATTATTTCTTTTGTGCTTCTTTGGAGAAGAAGAGATCATTGTGCTGTAGAAATATAATGATTTGGACGTGACCTTGATGCCTTGCAATCTGGTCTTTTTGGTGCTCATGCCTTTTCTCTTTTTTCGAAACTTTTTGGTGTTCATGCTTCTTTTTCTAATGAATATGATCTATATTAAATATTGTATCTTGGCGTTCATGCTGTTTTGTAATCAAATTTGATTTCACATCGGTTGGGGAGGAGAACGAAATATTCTTTATAAAGATGTGGAAACCTTTCCCTACTAGATGTGTTTTAAAAACTTTTAGGGGAGGCCCGAATGGAAAAATCCAAAGAAAACAATATCTGTTAGCGATGGGGTTGGGCCATTACAAATGGTGTCAGAGCCAGACACTGGGCGACGTGTTAGCGAGGAGGTTGAGCTTCGAAGGGGGTGGACATGAGGCGGTGTGTCAACAAAGACGCTTGGCTCCAAAGGGGGTGGTTTGGGAGGTCCTACATCGATTAGAGAAGGGAATGAGTACAGCGAGGATGTTGGGTCCCAAAGGGGGATGGATCGTGAGATCCCACATCGATTAGGGAGGAGAATGAAGCATTTTTTTCAAGGGTGTGGAAAACTCTCCCTGGCAGACATGTTTTAAAAACCTTGAGGGAAAGCCCAAAGAACATAATATCTGTTCGCAAGCTTATTACACAAACTATTACGGATAAATTTAAATATTTGATGTAAACTTTTGCCAAAATTTCATATTAAACTGATTTCTATATTTCTCTCTCACATGCTATCTCCCTCTCTATAAGTTACCTTAAGAAATAAACGTAACGCTCTTCCAAGATGTACCATGGTAACGCTTGTGCTTTTTCGTGTCACAGGGGACAATGGAGCGTAATAGGATATTTCGAGTGGTTCGGGGAGCACAAAGAGGATGGCTAGGCGGAAAAGTTTATGACCATTCTCTTGAGTATAGAAATCAATCATTTTTCAGGTAGCCCAACCTACCACCATTCTCATTAAAACTCATTTCCTAACCAACTCCCGGATGTGGAGTGATGCCACAGCAAGGAAGGCAACCTTTACAACATGAAGCCATGGCAAAAGCGACAACGACATGGCAACGGCCCCCAACGGGTCACTGGAAGCTAAATATTGACGCTTCATGGATAGCGAAACAGGTCAAGGGACCTAGGATTGTTTCAAAAGTCGAACAAAAGGCAACCTGTAGCACTTGGAAGATCAAAGTTATGGATTTGGCTGCAATTCTTGAAGGGCTTAAGATGCTTGTACCAACCGACCATTGCCCTGTTCTTGTTGAATTAGACTCCATTCACTCTTCGTACCCTCCCTCTGAAACGAGTGCTTCATGGATCACTTCCATCGTCCATTCCTCCCTCACCACCAATTGAACCCACGTAGCTATATCGACATCGAACCCTTTGCTCTAAACCGTTTTCCCCATTAGAAGTTTGAGAAGAATCTCGCCAAAAGTCAAGGATGTCGAGCTTGAATACACTTTCCTCCATGGAGTGGCAAATGATAGGGCAATCATTTTCGACCATATACAGGTTGTACAGGTGGCATGGTCATGTTTGTCCAAAGCGGATCGCCTCTACATGTATGTCCATTCTAAACCGTTTACCTTGTTTTTATTGCATGTATTATATTCTAGCTTAGTTATTTACCTTTCTTGTAATTTTGTTGGTGTTCGTCTTCTTGACACTTGATGTTTACACCTACCAAAGTTAATTTAAGAATAAAATTAGTTGCCAAATCTTCCTACTTTGAGTTATATATTACTTATGACGTTTCTCTTCCTACTTACTAGCATAGTCCTTACCTCGTTCTTAGAAAACAAGGCGTTTTCTAAGAACGAGGTAAGGACTATGAGATAAGTCGTTTATGCCACCAAGAATCCAGGCTCGAGTTCTCCAACTTGCTTAACTTGCATAAGGGTTAGAGTAACTACGATGTCAATTGGTATCATAGCCAAATAATCGCCTAGAAATGAAATTAGTAAACATGTCCATGATTAAATAGTTGAACAAGTCTGTAATGACTAACCGATCGACGACAATGAAGAGTAGATGCTCTATTTACAAGTTCCTAATAGTGTTCATTATTTGGGACCTCACGTACAAAAGATTGCTACTAAAGTCGATATACCGAACTTTCAAAAGTTTCAATATGAATAGTACACGTAAATAAAACTAAAAATAAAAAATAAAAATACTCGTATGAACCGAAAAAAACTAAACCTTTTCTTCAAAATTTATATTAAAAAAAGAAAAAAAAGAAAAGAAAAGCAAAGTAGTAGAGCCATGAAACATTTCAACAACAGCTATGGGTACTTCCACTTACCACAAAACATGAAAAGCATTCATAATTTTACATTCTAATTGTGACATACCAACACAACCAACAACATTGTTTCATTACAAACAACAAGCCATGTGGATGGAACAGTTCAATTCCATGTCTTTTTGTGTAAGTGAGGCATAGATAATGTGAATCTAGTAAGGCCCTTACAGATCAACATGTCCAGCAATATCATTATCATTCTCACTCGAATCACTTTCCTCATCACTTACTTCCTCTTCACTCTCATCTTCCGCGCTCGCATTCACCACATTTTCCCTTTTCGCGTAGCGTTCACAGTACTCTGTCATACCAAACAAACAACACACGTAAAAGTAGAGACACTATTATGCAAAACCCGAGATCACACCATAGAGAATTTACAGTTTTAGGACTAAAACGATGCAAATCTATAGGTTTCGAACAAATATTGTACACGGGTTGTCGATACCCCTAATGGAGGAGCCATGCCAAACAAACAACCCACGTAACAGTAGAGACACTATCATGCAAAACCCAAGATCACACCATAGAGAATTTATGGTTTCAAGACTAAAACGACGCAAATCTATCGGTTCCGAACCAATATTGTACACAGGGAGACGATACACTTAATGGAGGAGCCATACCAAACAAACAGCACACGTAAAAGTAGAGACACTATTATGCAAAACCCGAGATCACACCGTACAAAATTTACCGTTTCAGGACTAAAACGACACAAATCTATAGGTTCCGAACCAATATTGTACACGGGGAGTTAATACCCCTAATGGAAGAGCCATACCAAACAAACAACACACGTAAAAGTAGAGATACTATTATGTATAACCCGAGATCACACCATACAGACTTACAGTTTTAGGACTAAAACGATACAAATCTATAGGTTCCGAACCAATATTGTACACGGGGAGTCAATACCCCTAATGGAGGAGCCATACCAAACAAACAACACACGTAAAAGTAGAGACACCATTATGCAAAACCCGAGATCACACCGTAAAGAATTTACAGTTTCAGGACTAAAACGACGCAAATCTCACGGTTCCAACCAATATTGTCCACGGGTAGTTGATACCCCTAACGGATGAGCTACATATTCAACAATACCAAGTATACACATACCAAAAGAAGCAACATTCATTTACGAACACGATATGGTACCATCATGATACAACATCCGTTCTATACTTTTCAAAAGAAATTCATACCTTTGACCTTTTTATCGTACTGGTTCCTGTCTTTTAACATTAAAGACGCTGCGTCGCCGTTAAGCGGGTCTGAAGGATTGGGATAGAGCAAAAGCTGTGGAAGGAAAACTTCAAAAACATTCAATAGGTCTGAAAAATGGAAGTATACAACAGAAAAGTAAAGAAAAAAAAAAAAAACATGTCAGTCAGCATTCATGTCAGATTTTGAGCTAGAAAATAAGTAGAATGGCAATTGTTCTAAAGTTACCAAACATTGGACTCCAAGTTTGGTTAATCACATCCAAGCACACAGAACCAGATCTGCAAATACAGTGAAAACATGAGAATCTTAAAGATATTGAGAGCCATAATATGTGAGGTCTAGTTTGCTCACAGTTCATCGACGTTTGGATGATATATCTTGTTCACGAACCCGATAGACGGGGACTTGTACGGATACGCATCGGGGAGTTCGACGTGGATCTTCCAAACTCCGCCTTCATACAAGCCTGTCATTGTTGCAGCCAAGTTCGAGTGATGATAATAAACTTCCAAGAAGGTTTGAAGCATATAAAATGAACATGGGTAAGTAAATATATGAGAAGTTCATAATATTTCGAAACTTGTGGGAGTTATGAAGCGTATGTAACGTTCAAGGATGATCATGCTATCTATTTGTACAAAAGTGTTCTACACGAGCCTAACTTAAGAGTCAAAACGGTGTGTCATCATAATGTCAAATATTTCGAAACTTGTGGGCATTATGAAGAAGCGTGTGAAACGTTCAAGGATGATCATGCTATCTATCTGTACAAAAGTGTTCTACAGGAACCTAACTTAAGAGTCAAAACAGTGTGTCATCATAATGTCAAACATTTCGAAACTTGTGGGTGTTATGAAGAAGTGTATGTAACGCTCAAGGATGATCGTGCTATCTATCTGTACAAAAGTGTTCTACACGAGCCTAACTTAAGAGTCAAAACGGTGGGTCATCATAATGTCAAATATTTTGAAACTTGTGGGCGTTATGAAGAAGCGTGTGTAACGTTCAAGGATGATCATGCTATCTATCTGTAGAAAAGCGTTCTACACAAGCCTAACTTAGGAGTCAAAACGGTGCGTCATCGTAATGTCAAATATTTCGAAACTTGTGGGTGTTATGAAGAAGTGTATGTAACGTTCAAGGATGATCATGCTATCTAACTGTACAAAAGCGTTCTACACGAGATGAACTTAAGAATCGAAACGGTACCAAAAGCATTAGGAAGTGGCACCACTAATTAAGGGGAAAACTCAGCCATCCAACCATATGCATAAGCATAGAAATACATCGTAATAGAAGCAAAAGCATGAGAATGGGGAATACTTTCTTTTGGACCGTTGAATTCGACGTTAAATTCTCCGAGCCCGTCGTCTACCATCTCCACTTTGTAATCACTCATCATCCTGGATTCAGCATTGTTCAACTAAGCATATTAGAATTGAAACAAGGAAATACAGCGGATTACCATAAACTCACAAACTTCGTAAATGATTCGATCATGCACGTCGAAAGCTCAGTTACTACTCAAATTTATGCTAAACTAAGTTCCCTAGGGACCTCTTTCTTCATAATGGTAGGCTTGAGAGCCATAAGCAAGTCAATCATTCATGAAGGGCAAATGCTTATCAGTTAAGGGAAGAAATAAAAAAACTTCGGCATTAGAACCAACACGAAAAACGTTCAAGTTTCAAGGTCATAGAACTTTAACAAAACTTAGATTTTCCCCCGTTGATTCTTATCGAACAGCTGCATACCCAAAAAAATCTTGGATTCTAGAATAGTTTCTTGGCTCAAGCCCACCGCTAGCAGATGTTGTCATCTTTGGGATTTCCCTTTCAGGCTTCCTTTCAAGGTTTCTAAAACGCGTCTGCTAGGGAGAGATTTCCACACCCTTATAAGGTTGTTACGTATCGTCGTTAGCCTCACAGTTAGACCTGTAACAACCCATGCCCACTGCTAACAAATATTGTACTCTTTGGGCTTTCCCTTTCAGGCTTCCTTCAAGGTTTCTAAAACGCGTAAGCTAGAGAGAGGTTTCCACACCCTTATAAAGTGTTTCGTTCTCCTCCCCAACCGATGTAGGATCTCACATGTCTACAGCTCAAGCTAACACATTCATGATAGTTTCTCCTTAATTTCTTGTAGCGATTATCAAGAACTCAAGAACAATTAGAACAGCAAGAACACAGAAACTAATGAGAAAACTATACTTGTGAAGCATCATGAATAATCAACTCACAATTTCATGACATCCATGTCTCTCCGCTTGTTTGGAGAAGACATTTTGAATAGCAACACCTCAAAAATCCCACAAGAATGCCTGCCAAGAATTGCTCAATAGCATCATATTCTCTCACTAACATCATAAACAAAAAAACATGATAAACACAACAACTCCAGAGATCTAACATGATAAACAAAAAAAACATGATGATCAAAGGGCTGAATCATGCACCTAGACTTGCCAAATTCATCCACAAATCCTTTCTTAGATACCCTTTTCCATTAAGATCTCAAAAACACAAGCAGATCAGAATTCAACCTTCAACATCTTATACAGAGAAGATAATATTCAGATGACTCCAATGCCTAAGCAATAGCAGATTCAAAGGGTATAGTTCATCATCCAAAATAAAGTTCATAAACAAACAGCCCCTTGTTTAACTTATTAGACAAGGAGAAAGGACAACATCGACGACAATAATAAACAAAGAAACAACCCTTTTCCCTCCTCCCAAACTCAACCAAACCGAAGCATTACAGTATACACCCGACCAACAAGAACAAAACAATTTTATACAGACAACCCAGAATGTAAGAACCTGGGAAATGGCTAAAAACATGTCGTGTTCGAAGATCCATGGCTAACCCACTTGAGCTCTAAGAGAAAAAAGAAAAGGGTTGGGTTGATTCTTACAAGGGGAGTCTCCAATGGCGAGAAAATCCGAGATGAAGGACGAAAGGTGAGAAGAGAAGGGGAAAACTGTGGAATGGGAACAGAGAAGAATAATAAAATTTTGAGTGAGGACGCGTAGATCAGAGGCGAATTTGTATACGAAAAGTGCAATGAAATTTTGGTTTTGGAAATTTATTGAATTTTTTGTTCTTCAAAATTTAAATTTATATTTGTGCATTAAAATTGGTGTCAATTAATGTCAATTCCATTGAAAGGGAAAACGAGTTGGCAATGAAGAAGTAGACTTTTACTTTCTCAATGCAAGGATTCGATTAACCCATTCTTTGTAATCAAAATCAACAAGGTAATGAAAAACAGATGGTAAAAAAAATAAAAATAAAAATAATAAAAAAAATAAAAGCATATATATATATATATATATATATATATATATATCAACACGAAGAAGTCTTATCTATTTTCGTCCCATCTCCTATAGTTTTTATTTATTTTTTGAGATATCAAGATAGAGAATTTTTGGGTTTAGATTTCTTGTGATAATTCTTTTTTTCATTTTTTTAATATATTTTTAATGATAATATTCCTCATTATAATAAATTCAATAATATTTTATTAAAAAAAATATAATATCATATTTAACATATTTATCCATCTTTTTTACTAAGTACAGGGCAAAGGACAAGATTCCCCGTCCACATCTACATGGAAGGTGAGCCCCATCGAGTGAATGTAACTAAGTGATAATTAACAGATACAATTGATCAATAGATTAGAGATTTGAATTATCGACAGTCAAGTGTAATATTATTCGATCTTTCATAAATATTTCAAAACAAACTTAAGCTATGTAAACATAGTTCATTCAAATGTAATGTTAAAAAAAAAATCATTTTTTAATTTACAAAAATAGAAAACAAAAACAAAACTGAAAACCAAATGACTATAAGACGAGCCCATGAAATTTCAAATTATTTACGGTCTTCGTAAACTCGTTGTCCACGTCCATAGTGGAGGTTGCTGTGTGGAGATCCTTGTGCCAATGAAGATTGCTTTCTGTGATCGGAAAATCTAAAACAAAAAATAGCAAGCACTCTAAGAGGCTCGAGAGAGAGAGCTTTGCTATTTCTCGGGTTTAATAGTTACTATTGACTAAGAGTTTCAAAAGCCAGACTCTTCTACCGAGCAAGCTGTAACAAATAGCAAACCGAAGCGCATATGATTGGCTAGGATCGTCCAGATAGAACATGTGTCAACGTGAACAGGATAGGCAGGAAACAAAATCAAAGAAAAATACACACATTTCTCTAGAACTAAAGATGGAAAATTCATATTCATGAGACAAATTGTTAAGCTCCGTCCTGCAATTTGAGAATGGTTTCAAGAGCACAAACTTTCAACCTCAAGTACAATATATAACTAGCTGTCTTGGCAAAGAGATGTTCCCGTTGCAGCGCTCGACCACCGGCCACCACCCACCGGAGCTTCTGCACTTTCCGGCGAATCTCTCGTGCTTCTCTCCTCTTCCTCTTCAACCTAGAAGGAGCCACATTATGATAGAAAGAAGAAGTGGAATTAGGCACCAAATCCGGAGAAGCCATTAGAGGAAACCCAATACAAAAGGCAATGAAAGGAGTAGAAAGGAAGAAGGACAAATGGAAATGGGTTTGAGTTTTGAATATATAAGAACAAGGGAAGTTCAGTTGGGTTAGTGGGGTTTTTGAGTTTTGTGGAGAAATGGAGTTTTGGCCTTTCAGGTGGGGAATTGTAGTTCCATGTGGGCAAATGCACGTGTCAGGCAGCGGTTGAGTGCAAAATCATGGCCACTAGTTTCTTTGCCAGAAATTGACAGACAACTGCCACTGCACCTCCCAGAATTCCAACAGCTGTCCTTCTGTTCACGAGCTGGTTTATTTGGCCGGTGCCCGCCGGCCGTCGGGACTACTAACATCACCCACAACCTGTGGCTTGTCCAATTTCTTGGAGGGAAGGGAAGTGGAACTCTTTTGTACAACTATTTGTATAAGATCCCACATCGGTTCGAGAGGGAAACGAAATATTCCTTACAAGAGTGGAAACTTCTCCCTAGGAGGTGGATTGTGAGATCCCATATCGATTGGAGAAGAGAACGAAACATTTCTAGTAAGGGTGTGAAAACTTCTCCCTAGGAGATGAATGGTGAGATCCCACATCAGTTGGAGAGGGGAACGAAACATTCCTTATAAAAGTGAGGATAAGGGGGTGGATTGTGAGATCCTACGTCGGTTGGAGAAGAGAACAAAACATTTCTTACAAAGGTGGGGAAACCTCTTCCTAAGAGGTGGATTGTGAGATCCCTTATCGGTTGGAGAATAGAACGAAACATTTCTTGTAAGGGTGTGAAAACTTCTCTCTATGAGGTGAATTGTGGGATCCCACATAGATTGGAGAGGGAACGAAACATTTCTTATAAAAGTGAGGCTAAGGGGGTAGATTGTGAGATCTTACATCAGTTAGAGACAGAAACGAAGCATTCCTTATAAAGGTGGGGAAACCTCTCTAGGAGGTGGATTGTGAGATCCCATATCGATTGAAGAAGAGAACGAAACATTTCTTGTAAGGGTGTGGAAACTTCTCCCTAGGAGGTGAATTGTGAGATCCCGCATCGATTGGAGAGGAGAACAAAGCATCCTTATAAAAGTGAGGTTAAGGGGGTGGATTGTGAGATTCTACATCGGCTGGAGACAGAAACAAAGCATTCCTTATAAAGGTGGAGGTGGATTGTGAGATCTCACATCGGTTGGAGAAAGGAACGAAGAATTCTCTATAAGGGTGTGGAACCCTCTCCCTATGGGTTGGATAGTGAGATCCCACATCGGTTGGAGAGGGGAACAAAGTCATTCCTTATAAGGGTGTGGAAACTTCTCCCTAGCAGAAGCGTTTAAAAATCTTAAGAAAAAACCCGAAAAGAAAAGCTCAAAGAGGACAACATCTACTAGCAATGAACTTGGGCATGAGCCGTTACCATTTGGGTTATACATGAAAGAATGTACGATAACAGAATGAATCAATTCAAAACAATGCAAAATTTCTAACAGTAATACTTCTTTTCAGCATTCATTCCCTCCCTAAATTTCCAAACCACTAAAATCAGCAAACCAAATGAACATAGATATAAACAAACATTATGGGATCTAGTAGATTCATTCCACATTTAACAGATATAACTAAGCAACAGAAGGGACGGATCTAAAATATTTCCAAACTTTCAGATTACAGTAAAAAAAACAAGGGTTTCAGAGAACATACCATAATGAATCGACTGATCGAGAGAAAAATTTCATTCCATGATGACAGCAACTAGAGAAACATACAAAGCTGTTCAATGGACTAGCAGATGAGAAGATGTGGAGCTGAATTATTTAGAACCAGGTGGAAGAAAACATTAATGACAAGTTGAAAAGATTGGAGGAGAAACAGGGTTCTATCTCATAATGAGTCAATCTCATTTGTTCAATCCAAAGAAGATGCAGTGATAGACCATGAGTCGAAACCTGATAATAAAGTATAACTGTTGGACTTGACATAAAAATGAGATATGGCAAATGCATATCTACAGCCACAACGTCAATGCTGCCAGATAGATACCATGTGGAATTGACTGAGAACGGAAGGAAGGAATTGAAACATCCACATATCTAGTGTATAACTTGTGTTTCCCATTCCTTCTGAACAAGAAATGAAAGTTTTCAATGAGAAGACACAAATGCTAAAGAGAAAAAGACACTACAAGGGAGTGAAAAAGAACAAAACGGATAACAAAAGAGAACATAAACACACCCCAATATTGAACTAAGAAACTGAATAGAACAAGTTTGCGGAGATCTTGAAGATCGAAACCACAAATAAGGGAGAACAAAACAAGAGAAAATGCTTGCAAAGAAAGAAGCCGTCAATGCCATACACGAAAGAAAGCCCTCTAAAAAGGGCACGGAAGACAAAGGAAATCCTCCAAAACACTAGGGAAGCTCAAAAGACTTACTCATCCAGAAACATGGAGATCGACAACAAAACAAGCTAAAAAGTAACTATAATTGAAGCTTTAGCCACAAAAAAAGACCATTTGTAGTAGAAGCCGAGCAATCAACCTCGAATGAAAGGCAGTTAGAAGCTTGAAAGAAGAGAATGAAGCAACATTAAAGAAGCAGAACTCCAAAAACCTCATACAATCCAAGTAGACCGCGGTTTAAGTAAACCCCCAAGTAAATCACGGCTTAACTAAACCCCTACATGGCTTCCTTTTATATCAATGGAGTAATTTCACGCACCTTGAAACCACATGCATTAAAAAAGAGAAGCAAATTTTCAAGGTACTGATGATGGAGGGAGATGAGGAGTTCCCTTGACACAATCCTAAAATAACGAACCAAAAGCTACAAAATAAGAGTCTTCAATAACAACATCATGCATGTTAGGATCCAAAGGCTGTAAAACTAAATCCACAATACAGATGCTAATAACAATCCAACATCAAAATCGTTACCATGTGAGGGAGAATAACTGCGCGTAGCGTCTTTTGTCGAGTGAATAACTCCATTGGTTAAATCGAAATTTGGATCAGATGGGACAAGGACAACTTGGCTTAAAGGCTTGGGGGATAAGGGATGAGGAAGGTCAGATGTTGATAGCGCCACTTTCTTTTCGAAAGGGACTAAGAGTCTTAAAACAACTTTCTTCAAATAGCAATGTTTATACGCTCAACATAAAGGAGAGAAGAAGAAAATTAGAATAAGTGAGCTCCTCCATCAGATCTCATCCCTCTCGTGTAGACAACAGAAGCATATATATAATATATGGACGCTCATCAAAATAAGATGAAGATATTGAGAATATACCCAATGATTTTCTCTTATAATTTCAATATTCCAACATAACACCAAGATTTATATCTTTGAAGGCAACTCATCTATGCCCTAGGAATGAATACATAACATAAATATTGTCATCAAATCACCGAATGACCTGTTGTTATATTTGAAGAAAGATTGAAAGACAACAATCTTTCAATGTTACCGAAATCTCTCGACGTAAAACAAGATCCTGAAAAGCAAATCATAAAAAGAACATTGACATATTAACTCGGCCGCCAGGGATTCTCGCCATAGTAGAAAGCGGTGCCAACCATCAGTGCTACTGTAGCGCCTTGGACAACCACACGAGCTCTCATTAGCATCTGCCCCAATTGAGAGTTTCCTTGTCTAAAGCTGATTAATCCAGCAGTGAGAACTCCAGCAGTTACAAATGCACCTGATATTAAATTCTATCAAACATAAACCAAAAGAGGGAAACACATGGCACGGCAGCACCATTGCCAACCAGAAAAAGAAAATATATAGCTCTATAGCCTAGAATTAACAACCATTGACTCTCATAAGCAGTTTCAATCATGTGAAAGCACGGAATGAAACTCTTTGGAGCTAGGAAAATCTCCCCCTTCCTAAAATCTGCTTAAAATCTCCATGCTTGTGGATCCATAATTGGGGGAAAAAAGGCTTGATTCTTCAATAACATGAAGGCCTGTGAGTACAACAGTAACCAATAGATATTCACAGAGTATCTGTACTTATAGTCCCCCATTTCAAAGAACATGCTGGGCAACAATTTCGAAAATTCAGAAATACCCAGAATTCAGCACGTCCCATACAACCCTATGACATAATCCACCGGCGGAAAAGAGTATCCTAAGAAATTGAAGAAGTAACAATACCAAGGAGGAAGAAATTGGGGAAATTACCGACGGGGACCAAAGGGTTCCTGGCGCGCTTCTTCTCTACGAAGAATTCGTCCAAATTGGGTTCGCCTGAGCTCATACCTGTGAATCGCGATGCCGTTTCTAACAGAACGACGCGGGAAGGGAGGAGAATCTGAATCAAGAACAATAAACGCAGAGGATTAAAAGCCACCGACTCAGGAAGAATTGGTTTGGAAAGAAAGAGGTAGACGCCGTGGCCTTTGTCTTCCTCCTCTCGTACAAGTTCGACCGGGTGTGGATGTAAATGGGGCACGAATTAGCGGGTCGGGGGCCCATTCAACTATTTATTTTTTATCATTAAAAAATTTAGATATAGAAAAAATCAAATTTTTACCCCTCATGAGTCAAACTTCTTGTAGTTTTGACTATTCAATTTTCAACATTATTTTTTACCACAAAAAAAAAAAATAGATAATAAATAAATAAATAAACAAAATGTAAAAATCTTTTAAAAAACTACTCATTTCAATAAAAGTAACTTCTAAACCCAATTTAATTGTTGAATAAATTTGTCAAAAAGTAAAAAAAGAAAAAAAAAACCAATAAAATATTAGCTTGTATTATTTTTCTTTAAAATCTTATTAATTTTATACTATGCATAATATATATATATATATATATATATTTTTATGCTAATATTTTATGACATACGAATTAAAACTTATAGGATTCAACATAATCAAATAAAAAACAAAAAGTTTAGAATAAAAATGGATATAAATATATTAAAAAACCACATTTATTGTGCAAAAAAATAATTTTTGAATTATTATTATTTTTAAATAAAATAGGTTAAGTTTTTACTATTTTATTTTATTTTAATTAGAGTCTAATATTATTAACCTTCTTTAAACAATCCTTCGATGAATTAATTAGAACCTAACCTTGTGAATTGATAGAAATTATAGCATGCATCTCGGAGGAAGGTGACGTGGCCAAACATCCTCTCATCCGCTTACCATTGCACAACCAAAGTCTAACCCTAGTCCTAGCAGAAAGTCTATTTGTATCAAATAATACCTTTTGTCATGCAAGATATTTCAGGGGCGGGTTGGGCAATCCATTTAACCTTGTGAATTGATAGAAATTATAGCATGCATCTCGAAGGAGGGTGACATGGCCAAACATCATCTCGAAGGAGGGTGACATGGCCAAACATCATCTCGAAGGAGGGTGACATGGCCAAACATCATCTCATCAGCTTACCATTGCACAACCAAAGTCTAGCCCTAATCCCAGTAGAAAGTCTCTTTGTATCAAATAATACCTTTTGTTATGTAGGATATTTTTGGGGCGGGTTGGGCAATCCATTTTTGCCATTGGAGAGGTCCTTAACAGCCAAATACGAACGTTCGTAGCCTTTTTTTTCAATAAAGAATCATTCAAAGATATAGAAATCAATCTTGTAGCAATTTCCTCCTCAAATCACATAAAGATGAACGAGAAGGAACTCCTAAATAACAAGCAAAGGAAAAATGTGCATTCCCCTCATAATGTCATGTTCACATCAGCCTGACTTGAATCATGGAAGGAATTTAGATAACAACTAACTGAGTTCTAGTTCTAACACAAATGCTTGCTAAGAAACAAGATTCCCATAACCTGGTTCTAGTTCTCACACAAACCCCTTAATCCGGATTGACATTCCGTAGCTTTTATCGCATAAGATAATTCACTCCCGACCAACCATCGTCAACATTTACTCGAGAAACCACATGACACTGTCAGAGACTTGGAGACTATAGGCTGATTTTCGATGCATTATCAATGGTAAGAGTTTCAATAGTATAGTGATTTGATGAACTGATAAAGCTATCGAATTCGCCTAACTTGCTACTAATATCATTTTACTCAAAACTTCCAAGAGCTGAGAAGTCGATACAATTCAATTCTAACACCTGATGCATTCTATCCTACATACTAATCCTTGAGAACATCTACTACATCCTACGGCTGCAGTAAACGCAGCGTCGGGAAGAGGGAAAGCATACACATACTACAAATGGAACCCTTCAGAACCTTGACATACTCAGCAGGTTGGAAAACGGAGTACGAAAAATTATGTAATCAAGTGTACCTAATTTTTCAATCTGAAGTTAGGCCTTGAGATCGTTAGACATAGCTGAGGGTATGCAGTGTGTTGCCAGAATATCTAAAGTGGCTGCTTTGGCTGTGCTTGTACGGAGGACAACTATCTGAAAGATTGTAGCAAACGAGCAATGAGCACCAGAGATATCATTAACAAAGAGAGGAGATAATCCTTAATGAAGGAAGAAGGGGAATTAGCACCTGTTGATATTCTAAATCGAACTTCAAAAACTCATCATCGCAACTTTCGACCATGTTAGCCAAGCTCTTGAGGTTCTTCACGGGTTTACCATTGAAAGCAAGAACCTATGACGCACGAAGTCGAACAAGCACAGTTATTACTTACAATTATAATGATATCCTTTCGAAGACTATTAATAAGATATAATCGAAACCTGGGTGTTAACGATGTCTTCGTATCCGATGTTGATATCAGCCACAAGTACCTGCAAGAAATTTATATAAGATAAGAGGAGAAAAGGCTGAGAAGTTAGAAGTCTGAGCAAAATACACATCAATATATTGAACAGCAAAGTGAAGATGAGAGAGTAGAAGAGAGAACCTGAGAAACCACTACTAGCTGCTCATCTGGTGATTGCGGCATTGAATGCAATAGTTTGTCCAGAAGTTTGACTGGAGCTTCATATTCATAATCCTTTCCGTACTACAATACAACATTTTCAGAAAGTTCAGTATCATTGTGTACGTAAACCTACCATCAAATCAATAAAAGCTACAAAACACAATTTTTTAGTGACCTCTACTCAAATTTATTCCTCTTTGTACCATGCTGTCACCACCCACTATTGATTCAAAGTTATTTGCTTAAACACTCAAGATCATTCCATCAATGTGTACCATAAGAGCAAAAATGAAGTGGCTCGACAACTTGTAATGCAATGTTCCAAAATGTTCATATCTCAGGTTAAAACAGCGCTTTTCCTTCAACAGAACTAACCACCTCATGCTATAAAGCATCATGTCGTCTATTTTGCCTGTAAAGCGCCCCTTTAACGGAGTAGGGAATTTTCTTTATCCTAAACTTCCAATACTAAACCTCCTTTTTCTATCAACAGGGAAGTAATCCTCCAACTAACTCAACAAAAACCACCAACCAAATTAGTTCCTTTCAAAACAAATCCCCGAAACACCCATCCAATTTCTTAGTAAATTCAAGAGAACAGACAACACAAGAGTGAATATTTCAACACAGATATCCTAGCTCCTTAACATTTATTGACCTTTTTTGTTAATAACACCATCAACACAACTCAAGATTGATAGGAACCAGAAATTGAAACGGAAATTAATAGAAAATATTATTGAACTTAATAAAGAAAAATTACGAGTTTAAAGCACTTTGTGAGACCTGGACTCTTAAAACACTTCTCTCCAAATTCTGCCTACCTCAACCTTTCTACCAAATCGCCTTAAATATATTACACTAACCAACTCCTATTGATGACAGATATGTCCTCCTAATATCCAAATAACATCCCAAATATTTCCCTATTAATATTACCATCACAAATAATGAACAATAGGGAAACTTCCCATGTGACAACCTTCTACAAGCTCGACATTTTCTCTTGCAATGACAGTGAACATTAATTCAGTAGGCAACCAAATTAGCATACACTTTCTCAAAGTCCCTTGAAACAAAGCCTCTTTGGTTGTTTCTACCCCATTCATCTATTGCTTTATTAGTAATCAAGATGAGATCTAAGATTTCACGACCTTCAATGAAAGCCGCTTGAGAACCAAAAGGTACATCATTCCACAAGTGAAATGATCTTTGAATCAATGAAGAATGAAGGGCCGTATAATGCCCTTTGCTTAGGAAGTTCTATTTTATGTCTGGGTTTAGAGGCAAAGCTAATAGGAAAAAAATTCAACGCACCAAGACAGCTATGGCATTTTCAAGGATGCTGCCGCTACAAGTTTCAGTGTTTCATTTACGCAGTGCACACACAATCTAAGAAGAAATTAGGACAAAATAAAGCAGGTGATAAACTTCGCATGGATAGATGAGAGCAATAGAAGTTGCACGGACAATAAGAGTATCATGACTAACAAAATGATTGCTATAACCGACACATTAAGATTGTACTTCCTATCCTTTTAACGTCCATCATGTAAAATCTAGAAAAGGTAGAAGAGAAAGTCATCAAGAAAAATCAAAGCAGCAATAATGTAATAATCTAGAAAAGGTAGAAGAGAAAGCCTTATCATAGAATCTTGGGGGAGGAAGGGTTGGGTTACAAACCTCAGAACGGAGATAAGGAACTGATACAGTGCTAAAAACAAATCCTGCAATAATGTAATAAGAAGGAGCTTTGCCCTCGCTATGGGCAGGAATGAGCCTTCTGTAAGATGAAAGCTGGTAGGTAAAACTGAGTGTCTCAGAGTTGCGCAGAACTTTAATTGTTGCACTATCACCAGTATATTTCTGGGAGACAAGGTAACTGAAACCAATACGCTCACCATGCCGGAAAGGAACTGCAAAATAATAATAGAGTGGCATATCAAATACACAAGAAGAGTAATCAACAGAATTTCTTTTCCAAAAATAAGGTTACAACTTGTATAGACACAAAAGCAACAATCTAAGGGTTAGATTCTGCCATGCATTGCATTAAGTGCAATGCATCAGTGTTTTCTAAAGACACCGGGCATATTGAGTGCTCAATAGTGCCTCTAGACATTAAGTGCAATGCAAGATGCCAAAAGAAAAAACAGTAAGGTGAAGAGAATAGAAAACATGTGAAAAGTAATGAATAGTTAAACAAGACATAAAGTAAAATTATAGAAATGCGATGAGAAATTTTCTACAGAAGTAGGCATCTAGTATTTAGAAGAAGATAAGAAAAAGTATAGATAAGAAAGGCTTGCTTTTTAAAAATATTGTTACAATGGTAGTCAGCAACTATGCTTTAACCTGGTTCAGCCTTCTACCATACGAGAGATTTTTCCTCAATTCATTGGTGGTTACCCTCCTTGAAGTATGTCAAAGTGCTGTAGTCTTGACAGAATAATAGCTAGAAAGAAACAAACGATTTTTTGTGGGGAAGGGAGGTGATTTTTTTTATATAAATAGGAAGTTTCTATTTCTCTGACTTCCACT